ACTCATCTACTCATTAACTGGTGTCTTGCTTCATGTCAGAAACTCCCACTCTGATCCTTTGCCTTTTACTTCAGCCTCAGACTTGCCTTACCTCCACCCTGTAGGCTCAGACTGTTAGCTGTGCATTCATATGGCCACATACAAGTGTTTCAGCCAACGACAGACAACATATACAGTAGTGGTTCCATAAGATTCTATGAAACTTTCCTATTGCCTAATGAAGTCTCAGCCATTGTAACATCCTAGTGCAATATATTATTCACATGTTTGTGGTGATGAAGATGTGGAAAAAACCTACTGCACTGCTAACCCTATAAAAGTAAGACACATGTAATTATGTATAAGACATACTACTTGGGGCTGGCGCTGTGGCTCACTTGGTTAATCCTCCACTTGTGGCGCCAGCATCCCATTTGGGCACTGGGTTCTAGTCCCGGTTGCTCCTCTTCCAGTCCAGCTCTCTGCTGTGGCCCAGGAAGGCAATGTAAGATGGCCCAAGTGCTTGGGCGCCTGCACCCGCATCGGAGACCAGGAGGAAGCACCTGGCTCCTGGCTTCGGATCAGCACAGCACACTTGTCGTGGCAGCCATTTGGGGGGTGAGCCAAGGGAAGGAAGACCTTTCTCTCTGTCTCTCTCTCTCACTGTCTAACTCTATCTGTCAAATAAAAAAAAGACATACTACTTGATAATGATAATAAATAACCAAGTCACCATTTTGAGTTTGCTACTCTACACTTTTGACATTATATTGTAGTGTATGCCTTCCACTTATCAAAAACGTTCTCTGTAAAATAGTATGTCTTAGGCTGGCAACAGCCATGCTCATCTTGGGTATCTTATATCTTGATTTCCCTTGTTCTCATTGTAATCTTTCATTGTTTTGTCCATTATGGCCTATATATATATATATATATATAAACACTAGCTAACCTCAGTCTGCCATGGGCTTTTCTATGTACGCTTATGTAAACAGTCTAAGAAGTTTGCACAGTGTTTGTGTGCTATTAAAAGTGCCTGACCCATTACCCATCATTAAGCAGCAATGATATTTGGGTTAGTTTTTGCCTTAAACTACATCTATTTAACAACTCATAGTCGAGAAGGGAAGGTCTCAGTCTGTCTCAGGGCTGGTGACCCATTCAGTCTCCCCACCCTCTGCCTGTGGTCTCACTGCCCCTCTTCCGTGTCAGTTTTTCCTCAGTATACTACCCTGTGTCTCCAGTCCTGCATCTACTCTAACATTCCTACTTCCTTAGTGATATTTTACAATGAGTTTCACAAATCAGTAGTTCTCAAAGTGCGGCCCCCAAAGCAGCAGTGTCAACACCTCCTAGGGCTAAGCAGAAATGTGCATTATCAGCATCTAACGCAGACCTGCGGTGCCAGAGATGATGGAGAAGGCCACGCTTAGCACAGTAAAGTGAGACAGTACAGACCAAAGAATGTTCACAAGTCTAAAAAGTGACGTGATTAGAGAGTGATTGAAAATGTGTGCCTGCTACAGTGATTTCACTAAGACAAACATTTTTAAAAAATCGTTTTAGTGGAGTCAATTTTAAACACTGCATATTGAAAGGATCTTTCCAATGAAAGCTTTAACAAATTTTAGTAAAACAATGTGTTTCATATTACCAAACGAATAAAATAGTGTCTTTGAAGCAAAGGCAGAACGCTTCCTCATTCCAGTAGAATTCAATGAAGCATTGACAGGTATTGTGTATCCTCCTCTGCAGGTGCTTAGTTTTCTGAAGGATTAAATTAATCCACTTTTTAATTGAATATGAAATCCTTTGAGTTTGACCTTTAGGTGATAGTGGATTTTTGAATATTTGAAAATTAAAAATATTATTCCATTAGGTATACACCCTGTATGTTGTAAGAAATAGCATCCAAAGGAAGATTGCAGATTTCTAAACCATAGCAGAAGGATTGAGTTGCTAGGTTAAAAAGAGAAGTAGAGGGACAGGCGCTGTGGCGCAGCAGGTTAAAGCCCTGGCCTGAAGCGTCAGCATCCTGTATGGGTGTCAGTTCTAGTCCTGGCCTCTCCACTTCCCATCCAGCTCTCTGCTATGGCCTGGGAAAGCAGTAGAAGATGGCCCAAGTCCCTAGGCCCCTGCACCCACATGGGAGCCCCGGAAGAAGCTCCTGGCTCCTGGCTGTGAATAGGTGCAGCTCTGGCCGTTGCAGCCATCTGGGGAGTGAACCAGCAGATGGAAGACTTCTCTCTCTCTTTCTGTCTCTATCTTTCTCTGTAACTCTGTCTTTCAAATAAATAAAATAAATCTTTAAAAAAAATAAAGAGAGAAGTATAAGGCAGGTGAGAGGACAGGAGCACCATAGACAAATTCTCCTGGTTTATATTGCATAGGGATAGCACCTCTGGTCAGGTTATTCAATTATTTTTATTTGTTTATAAACATGCCTAAATGATTTTGATAAGTAGAGCCTTATATTTTATAAGTATTATTAAATTCACTTATTTACCTCTTTCTAGGCTTCGCCAGTGTCTAGTGTGATATTTGAGCTCTTTCCCTGTTTATTATCTTAGAATATTGCACACACGGATATTACAGTGAAAATATAGAGGTTCTTCCGTGTTCTCTGCTAAATGGAAGGTTTAACACACCATTCATTTGAAGAACACTCAGTGTCAAGGTTATTTTTTCCTGTATACTTTTTAAATATCAAACCATGGGCATGAATATCAAGGGTCAGCACAGCCTTAGGCAACAGTAGCACTGGTTAATGATGTTTATTTCCATATTTTGTAAGAAGTGTTATTTCAAGGCATTTTGGCAATAATTCCTTGGTTTCTATCTTCATTCTAAAACTTAAGTAAAAGAAAGAAGGTTGAAAATATGATTTACCTCCTCCCTTTAAAAAATTGTATGTTTTATTGCCATGTCTTGATTAATTAATTAAATAATTTCTTACCTGAAATGCAGAGAGAGAGAGACCAAGACACAGAGACAGACGGAAATCTTTCATCCACTAGTTCATACCCCTTTTGGGTATAAACACAACATCATTGGCTATGTCAGGACAAAGCCAGGAGCCCAGAATTCAGTCCAGGTCTCCAATGTGGGTGGAACTGACCCAAGTAATTAGCCCATCATCTTCTGCCTCCTAGAGTTGGGACTTGAACCCTGGCTCTCAGACTGGGGGTTCAGACACTGTAAACGTCATCTTAACTGCCGTACCAAATGCTTACTGCTGCTTACATTTTTATAACAATGTAGTTCCTTTGCACAAGGAATGTTGCTGACCTATGATTAAATTCCAATGTGAAGTTGAACTTCATCAAATGGTCTTGACATGCATTGTCTGTATACCTGAGCCACCACATGGGGTCTAGTTTTCATTTACACTCTTAGATGAGATCATGCTTCTTTGCTTTGTTACCTCTAATCCCATTGGAGTGGAATTATGACAGGAATTTGAGTGATGTATTTAATGTTATATGTTGATACTTGGTTGCACACAAGAATTTTAATGATACATCTATTTGGGCTTTTTCTTTGCAGATGATTAGTGGAACAATGTTCTTTCTTCGTTTTTCAGCTACAAAATTGATCTCAATGTCATTTCTTTAGAAAATAAATGTAAAATCCATACATACTAACTTCATAGGTCAATAATCTAAGTAGAAAATCAAATCATCACATTATCTTTTGTCCCAAAATATCCAGATACATGATTATAAATATTGTCTTCATGGTTACTAAATTTTAAGCTGTCATGCTTAAATTAATTTAACCCATTTGAAATCTGAATCTTGATTTTTGGCATCATAGAATTTTTACTGGGTAAAATGCCTACCAGAGCAGAGTCTTATCACACAGAATATTCTAGCTCAGTACCAGAAAGCATTTAGCACAGAAGACCATGGCACTTTGATGGATAATAGCACATTCCTAAGCCTGTTCCTCTCCCAGCTGCAGCTGCACTATTACATTTCTCAAAATAATTAATTTGACAGCACTGCCTTTAAAGAAGTCTTCACAATTAAATTCCAACTCACAGAGATATATCCGGCAGTAATTCTTGAACTTTTGTTATCATGACCCATTATTTTTTTTTTTGCAATTCCTCAATTCTTGCATTCTCTAGTCACCATGGTATATATTTATCTCCTCACAGTTAACCAATATTTATTGATCCCTTACTATAAACCAAAGGGACATTTTGCTGGGCACTTTATGGGGCATACCACATTCTTTACTTCCTGGAACTTGCAAACTAACTTTATTTTTCAAAAATGAAATGCATTGAATAGAACCAAGGGCTGCAGAATTTTAGAATAGCCTTTGAGATGCCCAGAAAGTTGCAAAGCAAAGTTTAGAATTGTTGCTTCAAAATCAGATTTTTCAAACACAGAATATCCAGACATGAACAACAGTTCTGTATGTTTATTTCGCTTACCAAGACAATGCCTTAAGTTATGCAGAAGGTGTCAATAAATACCAGCTATTATCATAGGCTGAGTAAGACCATAATACAATTGTGTATAGATTAAAACAATTATTTTTGCAGTGTATAAATGCTAGTGAGTCAGTCGGAGCCTACATTAGATATCACCTGTCACAAAAGTGAATTTGAGTAAGTTCTTGCTTAACTAGAATAAATAAGGCATTTCTCACATCAGTTGTGTCTATGATGTCCACTTAAATTAGCTGAAACTGCAGAGACAACACCATCTGTGCAGAGACTGCACCTCATGTTTACCCTATTTTTCCATCATACAATTTAATAATTGAACTCTCACTATAGAGAATGCATGCCAGGAAAAGTTGAAAGTGAGTGAATGAATGAATGATTAACAATAATGAATCCCTATGCTCATACATAGAATGGGAAGAGGGAATGTTTTGTGATCTACATCGATGTCACCAAGGGACGCAACAATGCTTTCTGAAGTCTGAAGACACAAAAGTCAATGCAGAGCTGCCTTGGTCACGCCTCCTGTACTTAATTGCCTGCATTCTTTGTTTCTCTGTAGAACGATTCAATGTGTATCTGATGCCAACACCAAATCTGGATATTTATGGTGAATGCACAATGCAGATCACTCATGAGAATATCTATCTCTGGGATATCCACAATGCCAAGGTCAAATTGGTGATGTGGCCTCTTAGCTCGCTGAGAAGATATGGTCGAGACTCGACGTGGTTCACCTTTGAGTCAGGAAGGTAAGTTCTAACTCAGTGACCTACTGCAGGAGGAGGGGGCAGACTCCTAAAAGGAAGTTTCTCTCTGCCATTACAGACAATGGGATGACCGCAGGTTGTTTTTGTTGGTTTGTTTTATACAGAGTAGAAGTTAACATGTATATAATTTTTTCAGGTTCTTGTTGATACTTTGGATACAGTGGTGCTAATTCTGTGGCAGGTTAATTACCCCATTCAAAATGACTTCCTTCTCTTACAGTAACATCAAATTAGTTTCATGATTATTCTAATAATGTGATACACTTTGAAGTTTTATTACAATACGTTTTTTGCATGCAGTAAGATTTCCATGTTAAATGTGTCCCTGTTCACATTTGTTTCTGAAATTTTCATTAACAAATAATGTTAAATTTAATATAAAATTATATATATATTGCCACTCCGGTTTGAGATAAGGTAATGTATTTCTCATTCATACAGATGTTTATGTTAATAACATTAGTTAAGTTTAATATTAATTAAGAATGACTGAAGAAATGTTGGCAGATCCATAACTTATGAGACATGTAACTCAAATTTTAAACCTAGTCAAGGAAGGCAAATATGTCAGTTTCTTCAGCACAGCATATGGTTGGAATCCATAAATGTTTGAAGTGTACACTTGATTCACAGCCATTATTCATGAACATAGATTTAGACATGAGCCACAACCAATCAAATATATGCCTTTATGCTGGGTCACTTTGTGACATTGTCACACACACAAGATAAGCCTGCTGTTTGGGGGCTCCATATAAGAAAGAGATGTTTGATACATCAGTCTTCACACAGGTATATAATTTATCACATTCTTAAAATGCATCTGCAGTCCTAGAAGATAATTATGAGGTGTCACTGCATTTCATATAGCAATTTTAAAATTCATAATTTTCCTCTTAAAAACTGTTAAATATTTATTCAAGGTCAGATTCTATCACTGTCTAAGGTAAGTTGTGTGTCCCTTAAAAATCTAAGAAAAAAAATCCTGACCTGGATGATTTTACTAGTTGGAGCCAATTTGCAGTAAGGAAAATTGCCTCCACCACACTGATTTCTCTGCAAACTCTTGGATCTTGTGTTTACTTAACAGTTATGAAATCATTCAACTACCTATTTCCATCCACCTGGATGTTGAGAGTCTAATATCCACACTCTGGATAAATAATGAGGAGGAAAAGTTTTCATAAGAAAGTAAATATTTTTAAACATCTTCACTATTTTAAAAAATTTTTGTTTATGAGAAAGGGACTTTTTTAGGGGTTCACTGACCTAACAATCTGATACATTTATTTTACTGGCCTTAAAGTGACTATCCCTATGAAAAGCAACTGAATATTTTTTCTCCTCACTGGGCAAACTTTGAGATCCTCTCCTGGGCATCTTTGTGTGCATACCTGACATCTTTTCTTACGCAGAATAATTTTTCTTGTGTGTTCATCATTTCAATAGGTTTCCTTTTTTTAGAGAGTTTTTATTTAATAAATATAAATTTCATAGGTACACCTTTTGGAATATAGAAGTTCTTCCCCTCCCCCATACGTGCCCTCCCATCCGTATTCCTGCCCCACCTCCTACTCCCTCTCACATCTCATTATTACTTAAGATTCATTTTTAATTATGTTTATATACAGATGACCAACTCTATACTAAGTAAAGATTTCAACAGTTTGCACCCACATAGACACACAAAGTATGAAGTACTGTTTGAAGACAAATTTTACCATTAATTCTCATAGCACAACTCATTAAGGACAGGGGTCCTACATGGGGAGCAAGTACACAGTGACTCTTGTTGTTGTTTTAACAATTGACACTCTTAATTTTGACATCAGTGATCACTCGAGGCTCTTGTCATGAGCTGCCAAGGCTATGGAAGCCTTTTGAGTCCACAAACTCTGTCAGTATTTGGACAGGGCCATAAGCAAAGTGGCAGTTCTCTCCTCCCTTCAGAGAAAGGTACCTCCTTCTTTGATGGCCCCTTCTTTCCACTGGGATCTCATTCACAGAGATCTTTCATGTAGGTCATTTTTTTGCCACAGCGTCTTGACTTTCCATGCCTGAAATTCTCTCATGGGCTTTTTAGCCAGAGCTGAATGCCTTAGGGGCTGATTCTGAGGCCAGAGTGCTGTTTAGGTTGTTTGTCATTCTATGAGTCTGCCGTGTGGTTTCTACTCAAATAACAAGTATTCTTTCCTTTTCAGTAACTTTGCAGAATTTTCACCCCATTTGTACCTGTCCACATTAGTCTTTGTCAATTTCTTGTTCCTTTAATCTTTAATGAGAGTGAACTGAATCTGCACAGATGTTTGAATCAACATTCTCAACCAAAACAGCAAGTTACTCAATGTACAACTTGTCTTATTGAATAATCAACATGAATTGGTCTTGTACAATCTTGATTTTTAAAAGCTTTAAGACTGGGGCCAGGGCTGTGGCACAGCAAGTTAAAGCCCTGGCCTGCAGTGTCGGCATACTATATAGGTGCTGGTTTGAGTCCTGGTTGTTGCACTTCTGATCCAGCTCCCTGTTAATGTGCCTGGGAAAGCAGTAGAAGATGGCCCAAGTCTTTGTGCCCCTGCACCACATGGGGGACTCGGAAGAAGCTCCTGGCTCCTGACTTCAGATGGGCTTAACTCTGGCTGTTGCAGCCATCTAGGGAGTGAACCAGCGGATGGAAGACCTCTCTCTCTCTTTGTCTCTACCTCTCTCTGCAACTCTTTCAAATAAATAAAGTAAATCTTAAAAAAAAAACTTTAAGATACATGAAAAACATAAACATATTGGAATCAATAAGGTCCATAATCTTCAAAGGTTTTTATTGTTGTCTTAGGAGATATTTTTCTCTTTTTTATTTGTTTTGGCAGAATAACATCTTAAAACATCAAATATCCTAATATCTAGAAATCATCTTAATACCCATACTCCTACGTGCTCTGGATATGAGAGCATTAGATTTAAATAAGAACTCTTTCACTTAATGCCTCAATCCAGGTCATTTGCAACCTCTGAGTTTCAGTTTTCTTTTCTTTTTTTTTAACTTTTATTTAATGAATATAAATTTCCAAAGTACGGCTTATGGATTACAATGGCTTCCCCCCCATATCGTCTCTCCCACCCGCATCCCTCCCCTTTCCCAATCCCTCTCCCCTTCCATTCACATGAGGATTCATTTTCGATTCTCTTTATATACAGAAGATCAGTTTAGCATACATTAAGTAAAGATTTCAACAGTTTGCTCCCACACAAACATAAAGTGAAAAATAATAGATGATTTTTTAAATGATGATGAAATCAGATCAGACCTATTGTCATGTTTAATCCCAGTGAGAGTCAAGTTGGGAATTGATAATTTCTTCTTCTTCTTTTTTTTTTTTTTTTTTACAGAAGATCAGTTTAGTATACATTAAGTAAAGATTTCAACAGTTTGCACCCCCATAGAAACACAAAGCGAAATATACTGTGTGAGTACTCATTATAGCATTAAGTCTCAATGTACAGCACATTAAGGACAGAGACCCTACATGAGGAGTAAGTGCACAGTGACTCCTGTTGTTGACTTTACAAATTGACACTCCTGTTTATGGCATCAGTAATCTCCCTATGCACCAGTCATGAGTTTCCAAGGCTATGGAAGCCTTTTGAGTTCACCGACTCTTATCTTGTTTAGACAAGGTCATAGTCAAAGTGGAGGTTCTCTCCTCCCTTCAGAGAAAGGTACCTCCTTCTTTGATGACCTGTTCTTTCCACTGGGATCTCACTCACAGAGATCTTTCATTTAGTTTTTTTTTTTTTTTTGCCAGAGTGTCTTGGCTTTCCATGCCTGAAATACTCTCATGGGCTTTTCAGCCAGATCGGAATGTCTTTAGGGCTGATTCTGAGGCCAGAGTGCTGTTTAGGACATCCACCATTCTATGAGTCTGCTGAGTATCTCGCTTCCCATGTTGGATCACTCTCCCCTTCATTTATTCTATCAGTTAGTATTAGCAGGTAGTAGACTTGTTTATGTGCTTCCTTTGACTCTCAGTCCTTTCATTATGATCAATTGTGAACTGAAATTGATCACTTGGACTGGTGAGATGGCATTGGCACATGCCACCTTGATGGGATTGAATTGGAGTCCCCTGGTATGTTTCTAACTCTACCATTTGGGGCAAGTCAGCTTGAATAACCTATGCTTTTTAGCTGTGTTTGGAAACAATGAGTGAGTTAGTGTGTATAAAACAGCACACCACATAGTATGGCCATATATTGGCATTATTTTTTTAATATTTATTTATTTGAAAGGTAGAGTTACAGAGAGGCAGAGAGTGAGATCTTTTATCTACTGGTTCATTCCCAAATGGCCACAACGGCCTGAGCTGGGCCAACCCGAAGCCAGGAGCAGGATCTTCGTCCTGGTCTCCCATGTGGGTGCAGGGGCCCAAAGACTTGGGCCATCTTCCACTGGTTTCCCAGGCTATAGCAGAGAGCTGGACAAAAGTGGAAAAGCCAGGTCTCAAACCAGCACCCATATGGGATGCCGGCCCTGCAGGCAGCGGCTTTATCCCATATGCCACAGTGCCAGCCCCATAATAGCATTTAAGAAATCATGATCGCGTACTGTTTCTCAGACATTATATAATTTGTTAGACTCTAGTATCTGAATTAAACTGCTTGTTCAGTGTGAAGAATTCTCTCCATGGAGCACTCTGCTAAAACATATCCTGAGACCAAAGCACAGGACGTGAAAAAGGGAGTGAATGCAAGCTTGGGAGAAGCTTGCATTCAAATGCCAGAGAGATCCTTGTCAATCTGTGTCTAGGAATCGTCAGTGTCACTGGTGAGTCCAGAACTTGAGGCCCTATTTGTGAAAATGGGACCTGGTGCCTCAAGACTTACAGAATAAAGGAAATGTGGAATAGTCACATGCATGCTAACTGGTGCTTTGGGCATAGCTACAGTTAATAGATTCCTATCTCTTTGAAGAGTCAATAGGATATATT